CAGCTTTAGGAACTAAAACATACATCTGTTTGCTTGGATCAAAATGAACTAAACTGAATATGTTCCCAATTCTATATTTTGTCTAAATGATGACCACAATGAGATCAGATTTACTGGATAAAACAATGCCCATGAATGTAAGTGCAATAAACAATCAAAATCACGTCATACTCGCTGAAGTTAGACATGTTCATATTACTAAACTCTTATGATCGGGACATCGGAAGGATGTAAGAAAACTTCAAATATATACACAGTTGGCCATTATCTCAGTATTTTTGTTCATTAATGCAAAGAAAATTAAATGAAATTGTTATTTTTAAAGTTGATATTATTACTATTATATTATTATTTAATATCTAAACTTTGAAGACATATATTGAGTGTCAGTCAGTGTAAAGGAAACACATTGTACATGTGAACTACGTAGTACTGAATTGTGGAGTTGGGCTGTTAAACTCTGCTACTCTGAATTTGGTGGAAAAAGAAGCCCATTAAGTATGAACGATTGTTAATACATTTTAAATACATAATACAGAGAGAGAATTGTATAAAAAGTTCCTAAAACATCAAGAAAACTCATCTCTGATGCAAATCTGCTAGAATCTCCTCCAAATCATCATCATTTTACACAGAAATCCTGCAGTCATTGTGTTCACCGTTTGAGTTAATTGTACAGTGTATCAGTTGTTCTGTACTGTTACTGTTATGCATTGAGTATAATATGAAATATCCATAAAATACATCACTTAGTCAGGGGTTGTCACTATGCTCAATGATAGAAAAGGGGTCCTTTAAGGAAAGAGCTTGGAAACCATTGATCTAGATGAGTGCACGTGTTAAACAGTTTTTACCCTTTTCTCCCTTAATTTGTCTGCAACGGAGCCTCCCTGAGGTTTCTTAAACTTTGGTGTCACCTTGAGATCCCGCACTATTAAACAGCCCCCACTGTCAACAATCAATAAATTTGGCTGGCCCTCTATCCCTCTTTTGTCTCTGCAAATGAAGGTGATGGATGAAAAAGAGCCCCGGTGCCCTCTGCCAGGTAATGTGCTGTGAACGGCCGTGTCAATATCTTCAGGGTTAACAGGATAGAGGGATGGAGGTATATGGTGGGTTGGGGGGGGGGTTTAGGAAGAGCGATGCATTTAGAGCGGGACACAGGAGCAGGGTCAACTCTCAGGACAACTTAATATTTAATCAACCCACCTCACCGGTAACCGTAAACCCCACAATCCCCTCTGGTCGTGCAAGGAGACATGTGGGAGAGCGTGGGTGGGGGGAGGACGGAGAAAGGCGAGAGGGGAGGGCGAGACGACACTTTATCTTTCAAATGGTCTTGTGCTTTGACTGAGTGCAAATTAAGTGAGAGAGAGAGATGGAAAAGAGAGAAAGAAAAGATGAGACGGGGACAATTGCTGGGTGACAACGACTGTGAGTGGTAGACAGAGACAGACAGATTAAGGCAAAATGGAAGATGGTGAATAACGTCATTAAAGTCTTCTTCATCATACAGATTGGAGCTGCGTCGCTGGGCTCTTCCAGGCAAGGTTAAAGAAAGTGATAAGTGCATCATGATGTTGAATGATGACATGATGAAGACAGGTGGGACAGGGAGCAGAGACATTACAGTCTCGGGTCAGAAACACATTCATAAAGGTCCTCACTGATGATGCAAGAAGCCCCGGCTTAAGAGCTTCTATCATTTCCATCCTATCATTATGAAACAAATAGCTTCAGTCTTCAGTATTTGATTGAGTCAAGTTTAAAGATTTTATACACAAAAAAACAGGTAATTTATATATTAATAATTCTTCTGTCCTTTAACTACAGTACAAGTAATTTAAATAGAAACGCTAAAAATATATTTTACCTCATGTGTCATGGTAATAGTTATAAAGCATTCCATTAATTGATCTCTAATCAGATAAAAAAACAAACTGATAAAATATTTTACAAATAAATGAATTAGGAAGAATTGTTTTTATAAAACAATGAATTTTGATAATGAAAGAAATATAAAGAGCATTTATGTGACATTTTGGCCCTTGAGTTCACCAGCCACGGATCAGCATGCATTGTCAGTTAGATGAACATTATTTACCCGTCTCCATTTATGAGACACAACAGAGCTTTTAATGTGAAAACCATGAGCCACAAACAGATGGGGGGCTTCCAGCGAACACTGATTTGCGCTGTTTTACCAGTGTCACATAAATGCTCAATGAAAAGGCCAAAGGGGAATGAAGTTAACCTTCCCTTTTGATATAAACCCGAAATCTTAATTCAGTTTGTAAGTTCAGTCATGTGTTCCTCTTTTAAAACTGTTGTATTCATTAATCAGCATATTTATTGGAGGTTTTATGTTTTCTTTCATTGATGGATTACTATATTAGTATACAAGTAGCCCCTACAGCCTTAGAGTGTTGGAAAGAATCATATGGATTATTTATTTTGGTGTTTTGGACTAAAAATGTCTGTTTGAATCAAAGCAGTTTATCAGTTTGCGTACATTTAAATGCTCATCAAATGTCATGGCAATTTTCCCATTAAAAAAATGTAATATCTATGAATGCATTTTCATAGATTTGCATTTCCTGCCAATCTGCCCATTAGATTTAGATATTTCTTGTGCACAGGTAAAGGTTTTAGCTTGAGTGTGGCACAAGCAGAAAGGTCAGCGGGTCACTAAAATCATTAGTATTCTGCCTCTGGGGACCACAAATAACCATATGAGGTTTCATGGCAATATGGCCAGTAGTTGTTGAAATATCGACTCTAGACCAAATATTGGACAACTGTCAGTGTCCTTAAGACCATTTCATATCCTGCCAAAAAACAAATGTATAATCTGTAATCCGGATGGTTGCAGTTTTTTTTTTCACACGCATATACCTTTCACACCGAGGCTGAAAATACAGTATATGAAACCTGTGAAAATACTGTGCCTCCTCTTGTGCTCTGTAAGTGGGAGGAGGATCTCTGAAGCCTTCATATATGTCTATTTTATATTCCCTCCTGCCTTTACACATGATCAAGAAGTCACATAAGAATCGTCTCGGATTTGTGTTATTTCAATCTATTATGGTCCCAAATTACTGTAAATCCCGGCCTCTTTGTTTCATATTTTAACACAGCTTCAGCACACTGTATGTTATAGACTATCATGAAGCTGGTGTGTCTCAAATCATGACCAAGCCACCGTGTTGTTTAACAATTTGTTGGTGTGATGAATGATAAATGCACTGCACTCGTGTACCACTTTTCTACCTTAACAGATAAAGCACTTTATTTTTTACAATTTGCTTCTCATTCATCGCTCACACACAGATGTTGACAGTGCTGCTGTGGAAGGTGCTGGCCCTCCCATTAGAAGCCATTAGGAGTTTGGTGTCTTTCTCAAGGACACTTTGACACTTTGTTGGCCGCAGGAGTCAGGATCAAACCACTAACCCTGTGATTAGTGGACAACCTCCTCTACCTCCCCATCAAGCTGTACTACTGAAACCAGCCTGAACTGCTCTTCTTTGGACGTATTCAGTACCAAAATTGGCTAATTTGAAATCTGTATCAGCTTTGTACATTGTTCGATTGTGTGTGTTTACTGGTATATATATTATGTCGAGGACAGGATGGGCTCAGCCAATCAGTGTCGCTGTTGTTTTCTTAATAAACCTTTCACAACTGGTTTCAGTAGATTTGTGGAACAGTATGAAGCAGCACACAGAGCCTCATCAGGCACTGGTCTTGCTGTAGTTACTGTTGAGAGCCCAGTGGAGGGTGAGCGATGAGCGTCCAGCCAGCCGTGGCCACCGCTTGGCGCTCTCCACTGCAGCTGTTGACTGCTGCCTATCAGCCCGCCTGTGGGCTAAGGGTTGCTTTCCCACCGAGCCGGCTGGGCGCCACAAAGCCTAAGGGTGTTGGGGGGTAGATGATAAGTGAATCCTTGCTAGAGAGAAGGGGGAGGGGGAGAGGGAAGCGGTGAATGGCAGCAGGTACGCAGGCAGATGGGCCGCCGGGAGCCCCAGCGGGCCCCCGTGGAGGTGCAGGCGGCCGAGTTCAGCACAGAACCACCCAGCCCCGCGTCAGCACTTTGGGTAGAAGCTGGGAAAGTGCTGAGGCGGCAGCCACGTGGGGAGATGAGGTGAAGTGGTGAAAATTTAACCAGCCTGATGAAAGTTTAAGTGTGCATGTTAAACAGGAGAGAGGGGGAGTGATTGGGGGGAGGTAAAGTATGAAAGGCGAAAGGATGGCAGGCGGTGACTGAAAATAATGGACAGGTTTGGGAGATTTCCTCATTGTTTCTCCTGCATGACTCAAACAACGACTGTCTACTTCTCAAACTTCAATATGACTCATTTTACCTGACACCTGAGGGCGTAGCGCAGCTCTTTTTTGACCCTGGCTCGACCTCAAAAGTAACATCATATCCCTCTTCTTTTTTTTTGCTTCTTGATAATTAGCTGCAAGGACGCTGTTTTGTTTCAAGGACGCGAGCTGCATCCCTCTGCACTGCGGCCTGGCTGATATACATGCCAGAGCCCTGTAGCACTTTTGTTGACTGCCATTCACATGATGCTACATAAAGCAGCCAGTTAGCTCGGTGGTCTGCGGAGACGAGTGCTGAGAGAGAGGGAGAGAGAGGGAGAGTCAAGCGGTGTGATTACATAAGGTTGGGTAACAGGCTCACTGTGGGGATACACACTCACTAGACAGTGTTGATGGAGTCTTTCACAGGCCTGATGGGGTGTTGATTAGGATGTGCTCACACACAAGGAGCAGATGCTGAAATGGATTCTAATGTGCTTTTCTCTCTTTGTTTCTCGCTCCCTCTGCTTTATACTCATCACTTCTTTCATCCCTGCACTCGCCGCTGCCATTTCCCCTCTTTCTTTGTTGCCCCTCTGGCTGTTCTCCTCTCTGTGTGAACACCAAATCGCATCCCATTCTCTTCTTTTGGCCTCCTTCTTTCTTTGCTGCTGTCCTCCGCTGATTTCCAGGTGCGGTGCGAGCCTCCAGCATCTTCCCCATCCTCAGTGTCATCCTGCTCTTCATGGGAGGCCTGTGTATAGCTGCCAGTGAGTTCTACAAGTCACGCCACAACATCATCCTCAGCGCAGGAATCTTCTTTGTGTCTGCAGGTGAGTCAAACACCCAAAACATAAGACAGGAGTGCAGGGATTTATCGGTTCAGTGTGCAAGCACCTGTTTCTACAAACGTGTCTTTGAACTAGAACGGTTTTTATGACTTAACACAGTCACTAACCTCCATGACTGCTTCCCGCAGCTTCACAATAAAAGCCTTTCACAGATTCATGAATAGTAGCTTACAAAATCACCTCCAAAATATATTTTGGAATATTAATTATTCATTTTTTGAGTAATTTTACTATTTTTTCCATTTACCCAGAGACAAGGTCGTGGATGCCTGTCTATGTCTCTCCATGAAGACTTAATGGATACTCAACATTGTACCGAGCCTAGTTAGGCACTATTGTTGGATGTCTATAGAATCTTAGTTTTCATATAGAGTGCATACTCGCCCCGGTTTGTTCCACTAATGTATTATCATTACATTCAACTTAGAGAGACAAGTATTCGATTTTGAGAAAAATAAAACCCAGAGGTCATTTAACAACATTTACTTTTCTGTATTTCAGGAATCCTCAAAGACTCTTTAACCCGTGTCACAAGCTGTAAGCTGCAAACTATATATCTCCCTGCTTGTAAATATAAATATTAACATGAAATTTTGTGTGAAAATATAAAACAGTATACAGTAACATCAACATTGACACACATAAGTCTAAGTGAAATTCTTAAAGTTTGGTTCATGTTGTACAAAAGTGCAATAATGTAATTCTTAGAGACAAAAATTGTTTTTATTATTATTTTATGAATGGTGGATTTTATCAACAAACGTCGTTTCGTTAGGCCAGCTAAGATCTTTAATTCAGGTTAGCTATTTGCCCATTGTTCCCAGTCTTTATGCTAAGCTAAGCTAACCGGCTGCTGGCTTTATCTTTAGATTTACAGCACAGACATGACGGTGGTATTAACCCTCTCATTTTACTGCCCGAAATATCAAACTATCACTTTAAGAAGTTGTCGTTACTCACTTATTTGTTTTCATTCAAAAAGCCCCGTGTGCACCGCTCTGTCTTAGGCTGTTGGTCATCTCTTGTACTGCAGCTACAAGTCACTTCTTCTGTTCTTCCTTCTTTTGTCCTCTTTTCTTTTCTCTTGATCCTGTTGCTGGGCTAGAAGCCACCCATTGGGACTCATCTCTAAAAATATGGTGTCCCTGACACACTTTCCCTACGATCCATCTTCCCAGATATACCATGTCAAACAATTTTACCATGTGTAACTATACACTAACAAGTCAAAGTATATATACATGTGGATATTTGATGGGACCTAGCACAGAACACAGCTCCAACGTGGATTATGTTGTACCTTGTCCCAAATGATCTGCATCAAGACCTCATGCCACCTTGTTTCTCACTGTAATGGCCGAGATTAGGAGACTAAGATCAGTCATGTTGAATGGAGAGACAGGATTAGTACACTGTGTACAGTGCATGAATCAGCGCTCTAAACATATTTGGTATGATACTGCGTATTAAGTTAAGCATACGCTCAGAATAACTCAGCCAATGAGCTCATCCTGACTGATATTTTCTTTTCTTTTCTCCCTTTGTCCTTTTCCCCATGAACCCATTACCCATAATCCACCCCTCTCCTGTGGCACCCTTCCTGCACAACCCTTCAGGCCTGAGCAACATCATCGGGATCATCGTGTACATATCAGCCAACGCAGGGGACCCTTCAAAAAGCGACTCGAAGAAGAACAGCTACTCTTACGGCTGGTCCTTCTACTTCGGTGCCCTCTCCTTCATCATGGCTGAGATGGTGGGTGTCTTGGCCGTGCACATGTTCATCGACCGCCATCGGCAGCTCCGAATAGGAGCGCGCGCAGCCGACTATCTCCAAGGCTCGGCCATAACGCGAATCCCCAGCTATCGTTACCGCTACAGACGTCGCTCGCGCTCCTCCTCCCGCTCCACAGACCCATCACACTCCCGCGACACCTCGCCGGTGGGCCTCAAGGGCTTCAGCGCTCTGCCATCCACAGAGATCTCCATGTACACGCTGCCCCGGGACACCCTCAAGTCCTCCGGCACGCCCACCGCCACCTACAACTCTGAGAGGGACCACAACTTCCTGCAAGTCCACAACTGCATCCCTAAGGACCTGAAAGACTCAAGCCACACCAACACAGCGAACCGACGCACCACACCGGTATGAGGGAGTCGACATAGGCCAGGCCGGCCCGGCGGAGACCAGGAGACACGGGAACCCCTGTGGGTGCAGTACGCCCCAGGAGAAGATGGATTTCCATGTTTATAGACATTTGTTCTTTTTGTTCAGCTGCATGACTTTTCCATTACCATTGTTGAGAGAGTTTCAACAAGTCTGCTGTGTTCCTGGATTAAATGGCAGAACAGTGAGAATGGGTCAGGTTGTCTCTCTCTCTCTAGAGAGAGAGAGAGAGAGTGAGATCTGTCATTTTTTTGCGCGGGGTTTGTTTATGAGGTTTGGGGCACTGAAAGGGAAGGTGGGAGGGGGTGGGCATTTATGAGATAAAGAATTGATTTCATGATTTCATAGCCCTTTGGTTTGACAGTTTTGCCCCACAAGTTTGGTTGGAGCAACAGGTCAAGCTCCCCCTCAGCCAGCCCACCGCTCAGATATACACCCCTTTTATTTATTGACTCATTTGTTCATTTTTTGCATTAAAACTGTGAATTGTTACAGCTTGGGATTCAGTAAGAATTAGCCCAATCTGTAATCTCTAACAAAGGTACTATATATATGTATTACTTTTCTAAATAAATTATTACATTAATAATCAAGAGTTACAGACTTTACCGAAGCAAAAAAGAAAAAAAAACAAGTTAACTAAACAAAGTGCTGTTGGTAAGATGAGAAAAGACTCTTTTAGTATCTGTTCATTTGAAGGTTGAGAACAAGAGAAGGTTCCTTTAGGTAGCGGCAGTACACAGCGACTGATGCTACCAGAGGCAGACGCAGACTGTCAACAGTAGAATAATATCTATTCTTTTAATAGAACCTTCTCGTCTTTTTCTCAGTCCCTGTTCGCTTTCTTTTTTTGGGGGGTCGTAACAGGAGAGTTGAACCCCTTAACAGAAAGAGCCAACAAAAGGGGTCAAAGTTCACAAAGCAAAGACTCTAAACACGACTTCTACAAAATAAAAAGGAAGGAGCAGAGGGGAAGGAAAAGAAGAGAACGCCAAACACAAAAATAAAAACAAGTTAAATATGAAATAGTACAAGAGAAGCTAAGTGACTCACAATTTCAGAAATTAAATGCATGCTATAAAATTACAGCAAATCTGCTCTTGAGAAACTTAAGTTTTAAAGGTTAATAATTATAAGGGGAAAAAAAGCAAAGACGCTAAAGTTTAAAGTATTAATGTTTTCATGTGTATTTTTCTTATGTTTTCTTTTTTATTTATTTAGTTCATTTTATCTTATTGCTTTTGTGAGAGAAACCAAACAATCTACATTGAACAAAACTGCTTTTTTAAATGGTTTGGTTGATTTCTTTATAAATATATATATATGTATGTATGTATTTTATTTTTAAAACTCACACAGCCTTAGTCATTTCTTTGTTTCTTTTGATTTTTAATGTGTTGTTCAAATTGATGAATTCAAAATGAAATCTTTAAAGGTGCCAAAACCGAATGATCCTATACTTGGATGCATCAAGTCCTGATGAATAAAATACGAACCCTAGGGGGAACAAATCACCATGTTTCACTGCGTGTCTCTAACACACTCTTATAAAAGCCTTGTTTGTTCAGCACTAACATTTGTCTCTCTGTCACGTTATCAAATCTTCAATGATGTTTACTTTTTATGGACAGCAAAATAACAAATTTGGGCTTGAAAGTATACAATTTGTCTTAATGATTAGCTGCAGAATACCAATATTTTTTTGCTTCTGGTCCCTTAAAATGAAGCAATGCCCACTTGTGACACTTTATCTCAGGTATATGACCACAGTGTGGACATGAGTTGTGATCGCTTCAACCAACAGTTATTGTTTTCTTTCATTTAAAAGATTTTAAGAGGCCCGAAAGAGTTGTGCAAACCCAGTCTTTTTATGAAAAAAGTAAATCTCAGAGTCAAACTACTCTGAACTCAATGCCCACTCACTTGTTTTTTTTTTCAGTTTTCATCTGTTTTGTCCTTCAACTGTTTCACCTGTTATCACTTAGATCACATGATGACGACTCCAAGACAACTGACTCGATTTGCTGATGAAGACCATGAGATGCGGTAAATAGAGAAGAAAAAGCTAGTAAGTTGACACTGAGTTAAATGTCCATTGTGTAACATTTAGGAGGCTCTATTGGCAGAAAAATGTAATATAATATTGCGAATTTGCAATAACCTGAATATAGGAATCATGTTTTTGTTACCTTAGAATGAGCCGTTTTTATCTACCTATGCCGCGGGTCACCTTCCATGGAGTCCGTCATGTTTCTACAGTAGTTTACAAACCAACCACTGACTGTAGATAGCAGCTTTAGGGTTTTTTACCATAGTTTCTCTTAAACACTTCACAGCCAGTTCTCATTCCCCACAGTCGCGAGCAGTGTTCAGTTAGTTACAATATTCGACTACCTTCGCTGCTCGATGCCACTAAATCCTACACACTGATCATTTAACTACTGTTACCAAGTTTTAGGGTTAAAGAATAAGTTAAGGTTTTGACCCCGCCTTCAATGGTGGCCTGAACACCAGAACAGCTATAAACGTTTTTTACCTTCGAAAGTGGTTGGAATTCCCTCCCCTTTCGGTGTCCCCTACGGAACCTTATTTTGGAAAAGAATATGTCTGGTAGTTTATAGTGAGAGACACAATTGTGCCATGAATTACACATATGATGTTTGTAAATTTAAAAGATAATTGTGTAAGTCAAGAAAGTCATATACTTAACTATTTATTACTAAACATCACATGTGTAATTCATGGCACAATTGAAATGCAACCAAAAGATTATTTGTCTCTTGCTATTAATTCAGGTACATATTTTATCCAATATAAGGTCCCATGGTGGTCCACCAGAAAGGGAGGAACCTTGCCTTTCTATACAGGGAATGCATTAAACTAACAAGTTTGTACAAGGTGTCTGGTCATACAAAGGTGTTTATACCTGATACAAATGGCTACATTCGATGGTGGGGCCAAAAGCCAACTGTTCAAATAGGGATAACAGTCTATTCTCAAAGGTATTCATGGTGTTGCACTCAGTTCTTCACAGATAAAAAGAGAGAGACATGAGAGACAATTTAAATCCTGCCTTCTTTCTTACCTCCAGCCCATTGCTACATGAAGTTACCTTTATTTTGGAAATAGAGTAAGGTAAGGAAGTTTCAGACACTATTGAAAACTCTGACATTCACTTTGTTTGAAGAATATCCACATTTTTAAGGTTAGGGCTAGGGAAAGCATTATAAGGGTCCTCATGGGATGCCCTGGTAGTTCACCTGGTAGAGCTGGCGCCTTTTGTGAGGCTCAGTCCCTGCTGCAGTGGCCATGGATTTGACTCCAACCTGCGGCCTTTTGCTGTGTGTCATTCCCTCTCTTTCTCCCCCCTGTCACTCTTCAGCTGTTTCCATCAATTAAAGGCAATGAAATCCTCCCAAAAAAATTTAAAAAATCGTCCAATCATAAGCGTCCCAAGAATAGTAGCACAAGTGTGTGTCTTTGTGTGTGCTATTGTACTTCTAGCTTAGTGAGAACCAATTTGACAAATACATGGAATGAAGAAATGCTTTTAGAGACTGTTTTAGGCTTGAAAATGGCCAACAAAATATTGGCATCAGCCTTTATACATCAGCCTTTATACAGCCATAAAAATAAAAGCTGAGTTGTCAGACATAAAACCCTGTGTGCTCTGCTAAAACCACGGCCTCTGCCTGCTGTTGTAAAATGGTGATAACACGCTGTAATCGACAGCGTTTGTCAGTAGTCTGACAAACACCAATGTTGACATGTGTGTGTAAATGGATTAATAAAGTCAGAAAACATTCATCTTTACCGCAACTTACTGCAAATTATACAAGTGTAAGACCAAGTTTAATGTATGTACAGATACTTCATGAGCTTGCTTTTTAATATAAAGCCACTCAAACTGACAATTTATCAAACTGTTATTTAAAAGAAAATCCATGGTAGTTTTGACTCCTCCTGCACAGATACGCCTCTTTCATACACCAGTGAGGCTATTTCTCTCTCTCTTTCCTCTCTCTCTCTTTGAGGTAAAAAGCCTCGGAGAAGACAGCATGTACGACGCGGACAGTCATGGCATCTTTCTAGGACATTCCTGAGAAAGAAACACAGGTTTGCAATAACACCACCAGGTTTATTCTACCGGCAGTTTCCCTGTAAAGACAACATCCAACACCTTTCTACACCACTGCCCTAAAAGCATTGCTTTCAGGGCCAAACATACTGTGTTGTGTGTGTGTGTGTGTGTGTGTGTGTGTGTAAGAGGAAGTGCTCACATGTGATGTTGAAGCAGATATACAAAGCAAATCTATTTGTGAGACAAAAGGGGTTCATTCTTCAGGACCGTGGTGTGTTTTATATATGTGGTTGACGGAGTTCACAGAGAGGTGATTCCTAAAAAGACAAAATAGATAAAATAAAGGGATTCACGACAGAAATAGAGTTCTGTTCTGATAGTATGTACAGTGTGTGCTTTCCCAAGCTCTGGACAAGTTTAGAGGCCAGCAGATTCATCAAATAAGGGAGGGGGAGAAAAAAAGTTTCTATTAGAAAAAGTGCTGAGATCCTGATTTGCCATTATCTGAGTTCACTGACACAAGCTGCTCTCCATAAATTTGAGGGGAAAATATGTCAACGTAGCAGTCTAAATGAATAGGGCTTTCTTATGTATAGCCATCTTTATTCAGAATTCATAAGCAGAAGTCATTTTACAAACCCGGATTACATTAAGAGAAAGTGTACGTGTGTGTATGTGTTGGGGAGGAGGATTAGATATACTGGCTTTCTCATAAAGCAGCACCTGGATTTGGGGTCTGAATGTCACATTTTTAATATGTTTTATGAATGGATAAGTCAGCCTCCTCTTAGGCATAGCCTCCACATTTGTCTCTCTGTCTTTGACTTTTCTCTCATAACTTTTTCGACAAGATGTCCTGTGTGAAACAATATATCAACTGTGGTATCTCAGATTGGGAGGAAGAGCTCAGGACCAGTGTGAAAGATTTAGTGGCATCTAGCTGTGAAGCTTACTGTACTTAAACAAAACACACAAGATAAAATTATTTAAGGATTAGGACAAACCAAAGTGTTTGGCTAATGCAATGCTAACACAACTATGGCCGGAGTTGCTGGAGGGTAAACCCAAAACTAAATAATGTCACTTTAAACCGTGATATAGCATCCTTGCTCCTGTGTTATGGATGTTCTAGTTCTGAAAAGATGTTTTTATAA